AAAGGGAATAGAAAGAAAGAAAGGAAGGAAGGAAGGAAGGAAGGAAGAAAGAAAGAGAGAGTCCCTCCCTCCCAGAAGTTTTGGGGCCTTACTTCAGAGCTGAAGTCCACGCAGAAGAGAGGGGAAGGAGAGGACGGAGAGGGCGTGGCTGCAGGAAGAGTGGGAGTTGCCACCAGGGGTACTTTGGGGACGTGGCAAGGAGCCCACTGCTCCGGCTTCTTCCTGAGAGGGTCCTCGTAGGGAGGCTTCAGATGTCCACAAGGTTCCTACAAGGAAGATCAAAAGTATGTGTGAGGGTGTGTGTGTGTGGGGTCTCTGAAGTGACACCCGGACAACTTGCTCCAAGGGCGCATTGCATTTGATCGACTGATTTAGGAAATGCATCTCCTGCCCGTCTCCTGCCCAACGACTCAAGCATGTAACTCCTGGTCTAACGACCGCCACCAAGGCTACCAAGAACTGGTGTCACTGAGCAGGGCAGTCATGCGATGCTCTACCTGATGGCTGCTTCGCTTGGCAATGGAAATCTTGAGGCCAACTGGGGTCGTTGAACGAGGACTGCTTGGGTGGGCTCCAAACCACCCACCAAGCTCCATGCAGGAGGACGAAAGGCCCGACCCAGAGGAGCCAGGTGGTCACAAGGGAAGGAACAAGGCCAAACACATGCATCCCCCACCCTCCCTCTTCCAAACCTTTTGAGTTTCCCTCAGTCCAGTTCACGCACGGATTTGCTCTCAGTGTTGTACACGTTAAGTGAACAGCAAAAACCTACCATTGCTCCTCAAAAGAACAATAATGGGAAGAGTAGCAATAGCGCTTAAGACTTCTATGCCGCTTCGCAGGGTTTTACAGCCCTCTCTGAGCAGTTTATAGAGTTATAAACTCTTGCCCCCAGCTATCTGGGTCCTCCCTTTACCCACTTCAGAAGGGCGGAAGGCTGAGTCAACCTTGAGCCAATCAGGATCGAACTGCTGGCAGTTGGCAGAGTTAGCCTGCAATTCTGCATTCTAACCACTGCAACTCCATGGCTCTTAGATATAGAGGTTATAGAGATGATAGGTAGGTACGCAGGCAGGCAGGCAGGCAGGCAGGCAGACAGACAGACAGACAGACAGAGGCAGGGTCCATGGGCAAGCAGGCAGAGATAGCAATAGCACTTATATGCTGCTTCCCAGCGCTTTACAGCCCTCTCTAAGCGGTTTACAGAGTCAGCCTCTTGCCCCCAACAATCTGGGCCCTCATTCTACCCACAAAAGGATGGAAGGCTGAGTCAGCCTTGAGCTGGTCAGGATCGAACTCCTGGCAGTGGGCAGAGTTAGCCTGCAACATTGCATTGTAACAAGAGCATCACTATTCCTTCCTTCCTTCCTTCCTTCCTTCCTTCCTTCCTTCCTTCCTTCCTCCCTCCCTCCCTCCCTTTCTTTCCAAGCAATAGCGGACTTATATACTGCATTATAGTGCTTTCCAGCCCCCTCTAAGCAGTTTACAGAATCAGCCTCTTGCCCCCAACAATCTGGGTCCTCACTTTACCCACCTCAGAAGGATGGAAGGCTGAGTCCACCTTGAGCCTGGTGAGGTTTGAACTGCCTCGTTGCCGGCAGCTGACAAGCAGCCTGCAGAAGTAGCTTGCAGTACTGCATTTTAACCACTGTGCCACCAGAGTAGCACCTGAGCCGTCATCTAAGGCAGGGGCCTTGCAAACTGGGCAAACTTTAGGACTTGTGGACTTCAACTCCCAGGATTCCTCAGCCAGGTGAAGTCCACAAGGCCTAAAGTTTGCCCAGTTTCCAAGGCCCCCGATTTGAAGGAAACAAAACTGACGGCCGTGTAAAGCTCAGAATCTGTTGGAAAACCGGGCAGGAGGGCTGCCTTCACAGATCCAGACTGGGGGCCGCCTGGCTAACCTTTGGAGCACCTACCCTTGCCCAAGCCACGGCCCTCTGCTCTGCTGGCACCTGGCAGGGCACCGAACAGTAGCTGTCCAAAGAGCCGTATCTTTCCCGCAGGAAGTTGTGGTAGACGGAGGGGTGGGCGACTTCCATGGGAGGTAAGGAGTTGCTTCGGATGAGATCGTCCCTCTGGTACATCAGCGGTCGCCAAATACGCCGGCTGTCATAAACCGGAGCGTACATCCCAGAAGGAACCGGAGGCACCGGCCCGTAGGGCTGCGGTTGGGCCTGTTGGTAAGTGGAAGTGAGTCTGTCCCGAGCAGGAAAGGTGCTGTAATGTTCGCTGTACTGCAGGGAGGCCGGCGGGAGAGGAGATTCTGAGACGTTGCTGGACCTCACAAAGCGAGGGAGGCATGGCGGCACAGCTGCGGCGACCGCCGGGGGGCCTGGATAGTATCCTACAGAAGGAAACACAAAGTTGTTGTTTTTTTAAAAAAAAATTATTTTATTTTTAATACCAACAATCCATCATCCATTAAACAGTGTGTCTTCTGGGTACAAATATCTTGTGCGATAACAATTCAAGTTTACATTAGTAAACTTTAGTGTTAATTTTCTACTCTTAGTATTAATTTTCTACTCTTAACTTAATACTGATATACGTATGTCTAATTATTATAACAATCCTCATCTTAACTTATTTAACTCTATTAATATATTTTCTATACTTCACCGGTCTTCTTTCGTTTCTAACTTTCATATTTATTCTCTAACCACGGATAGAATAATTCCCATACCATATAATATTCAGTTTGTTCCTTCTCTTTAATCGCAACTGTTAACCGACTCATTTCTGCACATTCTAACGTTTTCCTAATCACAGTCTCTTCAGTAGGGATCTCTCCATTTTCCCAGTTTTGTGCAAATACAATTCTAGCTGTGGTTTAATACGCGGACAATCAAATATACATTCTCTTTGCTATAAATGTCAGGTAAAATCCCCAACAAGGATATTTGAGGTTTTAAATCGACGTGCTGCTGTATCCTCTTTTCCAACCCTGCATTTTTGTCCATTATATTTTGGCTTCTACACAGGTCCACCACATATGATGATATGATCCAGGTATCTGGCTCTTGGCCCACCTGGGCTTTTACATCACGGCCCCCCCGGGCACTCACCTGTTGGTGGGTAAGGCGGAGCCTCATAGGAGAGGTGAGCCCGAGGATCCTGGAAATACGGAAGGCCCTCCGAGGGAGCTGGGTAGATGGGCAGGCGGGCGGTGAAAGGGCTGGGTTTGGGGGCCAGGAGGCTGATCTCACTTGCCGCAAGGGCGGGGGAGGGAGGGAGGGGAGGGGGAGGAGGGACAGGGCCTGCTGAGGTAGCTGCGGTCTGGTTCACAGGCGTTTTCGGAGAGGAGCCGGTTTGACTGTAAGAATCAGAAAGGTTAACTTAGGGCTGCCGCCGCCGCCTGCATTCAAAAGGGGCTGGATGAGCAAGATCCGAGCAGAAGGGGCCTGTTAGGAATGACAGTCACCTAACAGTTGGGTTGGCAGTACATAAACCAGGATAGTAATTTAATACTGTATCTTTAAGAGAATGCTGTAATTGTGATTGGCTGAATGTTCTTCCAAGATGGAGCCAGAAACCTGGTTTCTTTCTTTCTCCTTGCATTTCCCGTTTTGCCGTACTGCCTGATCGTCGTTCTGTTGGATTGCTGGGAGTCTTGCAACTCTTAGCGAACTCTGTTTACTGAACTCTGTTTAGGATACTTGACTTTGTTTTTGGATTATCCCTGGACTGATACTAACTGCTTTAACCGTGTATGATTTGGACTGCTTGTTGGACTTCGTTTACCCGTTTACTGGAAGTAAAACCTACATTTTACTATTCGGTTTATCGGTATGCTGGTTGTGTGTTATTCAACATCGCTCTCACTACGTTTTCCCGGGAGTGCATTCATTCTTCTAACGGGGAATACCTCAACAGGGCCAACCCAGAGGAGGAGGAAGCCAGGGGTGGGTTTCAAATATTTTAGTAACGGGTTCTCTGACTGGTTGCTGGGTGGGTGTGGCCTAGTTAGCTTCCTGAACCATGAAGGGGGGGGGCGTTTTTGCCTTCCCTGGGCTCCTTGAGCCTCCGGGAGGATGAAAACGGCCTCCTCAGGCTCCGGAGGCCCATTTATCGCCCTCCCCGACAGTGGTGGGATCCAAAAATTTTGGATCTGTGACCGTGGCTTGGTGGGTGTGGCTTGGTGGGTATGGCAGGGGAAGGATACTGTAAAATCCCATTCCCTCCCCACCCCACTAACCTGCTTTCCAGCTCTGTTCTCCTGTGCAGGGCAACCAAAGGAGACCCAGCTGATCAGCCAGGACTCGATGGGAGGCAGAGAAGAGGTGGGGCCAGTCAAGAGGCGGGATTGGCCAGTTCTCTGAACCACTCAAAATTTCCGCTACCGGTTCTCCAGAACTGGTCAGGACCTGCTGAAGACCCACCTCTGCTCCACACGGGCCCTGCACTTGCCGGGCATCCAAAATGGGCCACTTGGGGATTCCTGGGAGGGGCAGGGTGCGGTGGGCAGGGCCGGCCAGAGGTCGGATTTGCCGGAAATTAAAAAAATGATAAAATGGGGGGATGGGGACCCCAGAACCTACTGTTCAGGCAGAGGCTCGTTGGGAGACAAAGCTGGGTTCTGGCTGTTCGCCACGGCCTTCCCTCCTTTCTTCACGTGCTCCAGAGTCCGTAACGAAGGGCTGTTCATACAACGGGGAATCAGCTGGGGGCCGCCGCTCTCTGGGCTGGGACTCCTGTTGGCGCTGGACGAGGCCTTTCCTGCCGGGTCCATGTTTCCTATGATGGGAAGGACACTCCCCACGGTGGCAGGGAGGGGGCTGGCGATGCTGGCTTTCCCAAGCAGAGGGAAGGGTCTCACGGGGGCGGCACTGATTTTCTTGTTTCTTAGCCGATACCTGCAGGGGACAGAGAGGAGAGCAGAGCTCGGTTGAATCTTCCCCAGCCCCCCACCCCACCCCCAAAAAGATAGAGCCAGGAATTGAGATATAAGATTGACCCCCTTAAGCTACATTGGGGGAATCTCCAAACTCGGCAAATTTTTTGTGGACTTCAACTCCCAGAATTCCTCAGCCAGGAAAGCTGGAAGTCCGCAAGTCTTAAAATAGAACAGAACAGAACAGAATATAGGATAATATTGGAATGGAATGGAATGGAATGGAATGGAATGGAATGGAATAGAATAGAATAGAATAGAATAGAATAGAATAGAATAGAATAGAATAGAATATAGAATGGAATGGAATGGAACGGAACTGAATAGAATAGAACAGACATAAGAATAGAATAGAGATTAGAATAAAATAGAATGAGAATAGAAAAGAAATAAAATTAGAATAGAAATAAAACTAGAACAGAACAGAACAGAACAGAACAGAATTCTTTATTGACCCAGTGATTGGACACATAAGGAATTTGTCCTTGGTGCATAGGTTCTCAATGTACATAAGAATGCAATCGACATGGGACACCTGGATCCAGGCTGGCAAGCTGACCTTAGGCCCCAGGCAGATGGGGAGGGAGCGGGCTGCGGTTTCCCCCACCCCAAAGACTTACTTCTCCAGCTCCTCCTGCGAGTGAGCGAAGGTGCAGTTGGTTCCGCGTGGACACCCGCCCTGCTGTCTGAGGTCTCGGCACAGGCTGGTTTTATACTTGCTGTTCGGCTGTGGCTTTCAAAAGAGAAGAGAGGAGAGAAGTGAGCGGGCATTGCCAGCTTCTTGTGCCTGGCTATCTCTGTCAAGGGCAACCAACCACGCATTAGGCCACCATGGGGGAATCGTTGGTCTTTACAGCCTTTGTGCTCGAGTCTATTTCTGGAGCAATCTAGGAAATGGGCTTATTTGCGATCTCTTTCGGCAACTTCATGATCCTTCTCTTTGCTTTTTATGGTTCACAACTTCTCATACGTAAATGAGCCAGAGTCATTCGGTGTTGTGCAGCTGCTAAATCGAACCAAACGGACAAATACACCCTCCAGCAGCCAGTGGCTTTAAGGGAGTTTAAAGCAGGCGTCTCTAACTGGATCAGCTTCAGCTGGGTAAACATCAACTCCCAGAATTCCCCATCCACGGTGGCCATGGCAGAGAATTCTGGGAAATGACCTCTAGGTTAGGAAAAGAATGATTTAAAACATTGGACCAAGAAGGAAAATCCACACTTATTTCTCTCCAAGCTTTCGGATTTCAGCAGCCACAACTGTCAACTAACAAAAGATGAAAGTTCAACCAGGCATTAAAAAAATTAAATCAGTCCTCTGAGATTTCAATTGTGTGTGTGTGTGTGTGAGAGAGAGAAGGGGTGGGGGGGAAGAGAGAGAGACAGAGAGACAGAGATGGAGAGACAAGAGACAGAGAGACAGAGAGACAGAGACACAGAGAGAGAGAGAGACAGATACAGAGAAAGAGATAGAGAGACAGAGAAAGAGATAGAGATAGAGAGACAGAGACTATTTAGTTTTAAGCTTACTTGCTGTTCTATGGGTTTCTGTGTGCATCAAAGGGCTACGTTACAAGAAATCAAACTGGAACCACCAACCTGTGGAATTTCGGGGCCTTTTCTGCTGTGGTTCTGGATGAAATCCACAAGGCCACGCACCACAGTCTTAACGGCCACCGTGGCGTTTTCCAGCTGCTCCCATGTCGGAGACGCTGCATCTGGGAGGGTGCGAAAAGGGAAGAATTAAAATGAACTTTCGGTGAGCTTATCAGGAACACGTCGCAAATGTGTCCGGTTCCATTTTGCAGGTGTCAAGAGCGATTTCGCTCTTTCACCTAGTTACTTCTTCGCTCGCAGCTGGACAACAACTGGGAGGAGGGTAGTTGGAATGTTTGGGGTGGGAATGGAATGCCAAGACTCCATTTCAGTCTTGTTGCCACCCGCAAGGCCACTCCGCACAGCTGTTTGAACGATGCAGGCTGTTCTCCTAACAAAAGGAGCACATTTAATTGGATACCACAATGAACTGAGTGGGGTGGCCAAAAGGGGAAAACTCTAGTTTAACTTTGCATGCTGGAAACTTTCACTTCTTCCGTGCCAGTGTAGTGTATTCAATAAGGTTTTATTTGGGGGAAGAACGATGTCCCAGGGGTTCCTTTTGGGGGGATTTGCTAGCTGGACAGCTGACAGCAGGCCTCCTCCAAAGAGTCCTGTTCAAGAGAGCAAAACTCACAGCAGGATTAACCTTTCTTTAAAAATGGC